AGTGTCACTTAGAGCTCGATAGGCATGACATCTCTGTCAAAATAAAAGAAAAACATTTTGGAATAGGGTACAAAATTAGCCTGGAGGTATGACCTGGAAATAAATATAGAAATTCGAAGTGATTTTGTTAGCTCAATAGTAGTAATTTTCGAAAATTCTACAAATCCTGGAATTTTGGTAAAGTTATCTACAAAAGGACCGAAACAGTATTGGAAAGAACATTTTTTATATTATATCAAAACATGTTTTTCATGTTTCAACAATGTTTACAGTGTTTGAAATGGAAACTATTTTCACACATTATGTGTATACATTTTATCAATCAAACACTACAGGTTAAAAGGTTAAATTCTGCTCTTATTCGTGATAAATATTGGTCCTCTTTTGGATGAGATTCCTGGTTTTTATGAACAATGATTTCATGGGATGTTTCAATTTCTGTTATTTGAAAACTTAAGTTTTTGTGGAGTTTCCAATCGAACGCAGCTGCCCCCAAAATTCATATAAAACTAACAATTGTGTATGCTTAGCCGTGGATGCTACTCAGTTCAAGTCACAGAAAGCTGGACTTTCTATGTATGATGTGATCCACCAAAGATTCATCTAACCAATATGTGTTGAATATAAAGCTGTTCAATAGAAAAGGGGTTAAAGACCATATTTATTCTGGAGAAGTATCAAGTTTCATGACTGAGGTATCCAAAAAGTTATGAAGAATATATGTACAAAATATATTCAATGAAGCCACAAAGAACCAATTGAAAAAATGAAAGGACAGGTATCCAGATTTCATTAATGTTCATTTCCTCTCCTTTCCTATTGAAATTATTCTTGTATTTTTGAATTTCTATTGCTTTCTTATTTTCTTATATTCTTTTGGATAGTAATTTTGAGTTCTATGGGGTATACCTATATTTCCGAATGAGATAATGTGGGTGCCTTTTTTTGAGAGCATTGGTCGGTTTGTCCGAGGCGACAATTTCTCTTTTGTTCAGAAAGACGGATACCTATACCTTTTTTCGTTATTCCAATGAGAAACGAACCACAGCTACAAGAAATCCGGTATACCCAGGGTGTTGCTGAAGAATCTCTGAGGTCACTAGCTGACCTAAAACTTTCTTAGATAGTTGATTTCAGCATTCTTGGATGTACTTGTGAACAGATGTGCAGATGGTATATTGAACCACAGAGTGTACAGAAAATAAAAATACATAGAAAGGTCACAACAAAAGAGAGATGTATTATTAAAACGTTGGGTGAGAGAGCACGGCGTATCTTTGAACCTAAAAGTCTCCCTGAAATCAGGCGGATTGGCTGTCCTTGTTCACCTTTCACTGCCTGAACCACGGTGCATGCTGTTTTTGGCGAGTGCATTGGCAGGTGCATAGGTGCGATAGGTGACAACTGGGGAAGTTGATTGATCCGTGACTGGTTGACCATGTGCGGAAGGGGCGGGGCTTCACACTGATTACCTGTTGCGGTCAAGGGGTGCTTGATTCTGATTGGCTGAGGGGGCAGGGGATGAAAAAAATGGAGGGGGTGCTTGATTCTGATTGGCTGAGGGGGCAGGGNGTTGGGGGGGTGCTTGAGTCTGATTGGCTGAGGGGGCGGGGCTAAAAAAAGTGGAGGGGTGTCCTTAATTCTGATTGGCTGAGGGGGCGGGGCTAAAAAAAGTGGAGGGGCTGGTCTATAGTGACTCTATCCACTGCAGTGCATTGGGGGATGTGGGGGTTGAGCGAACCGGCCATCGAATGCCTGCTTTCACGTAGCCCCGCTAGATACGGGAATGACAGCAGCATTTGTGGTTCTATTATTCCCTAACTGAATGGCATCCCAAAGATGACCTTATCCTGAGGTGTGTGTATCTGGGCCGAGAGAATGATACCGAGCCTATCAGCTGGATGTCGAGCTTACGACTGCAACTGACCTCTCTGTAAATTTAGATCAGGAGCGAGAGCTTCTCAACTCTCCAACTCTTGATTCAATAACTGAACCTAAAAAAAAGGTTTGGTGGACGGCTGGGTCGTCTCCTCAAGAGCGGGGTACCTTATGAAACCGCCTTGAGCGGCGTACGCAGAATCTGTCTCAGGTGGATGAACAAACCCCCATGAGAAGGTTAGCAAACGTTTGCGTTCAAATGATTCACCAAAACCAGAGGCGAAAAAGCCCTGAACGGTTGAATCTAAGGCTTCGTCAGGTGTAGCTGATGTGCAAAAACCCTCATATGGACAGGTTGTCGCGGGTATCAAGGTGGAAATCTTGCACCTTGACTATCCGACTACCTCTTTAACGATGAAACAGCAGAGCATATACTTTGTGTCTGCCCCGCTGGGAACGAATCAGGTTTTTAGAGTTCGGCAGAGCCGTACTCTTACCATCTGACTTGAAGACCACTCACCATACAAACTAATCGGCTTCGTAAGGAAGCTGGGTTCATTTGGTCGAGTGTGAATAAGTGTGAGCCACAATAAACCCTTCCGGTTTGCGGTGGAGGGTCGAATAGATCCACTCACTTTGAACCTAACCTAACCTACATCACTCGTCGTCAAAAGAGCGCTATAAACTTTCCACAAACAGAAGTTGTGTAAACAATATTGATGAGTATTTTAATTCTTATCAGATACTTTTCGATTTTTCGACGTGATAAAGAGGTACCTCATTATGCTGCAACATAATATCAGTTGAAAACCCACTTCTGAAATCATATGAAAAATGCCTTCAAAGGAAATGGGTATAGCAAAGGAGAGAATGCTGAAGTAACCCCAGCTAGGCTAGTAAGGGGAAAAGTTCCACTTCCCTATGTTAAAAATGGTACAGACCGGATTGGGACAATTTTAGAGAAACACGATGTGAAACCAATATCAGAGGAAGTCGAAAATCAGCCCCAGAGAACCTTTAGCAACACCGGGGGTATACCGTATCACTTGTAGCTGCGGGTCAGTCCACACTGAAACCACGAAAAGAAGTATAGGTACTGTTTTTTTTTCAATTCATTCACATACAAGTTACACAGTTACACAGAATTAGTATAAAAAATGATGCGTTGCAAATAAATTAAGATAACTCACAAAAGGTAAACCCTGAGCGTGAGATGCTTAACTTATAAGATGTATATTAATAGATCATTGTTAGATCAAGATCTTCAGATGATGTGGTGCTGCAGGTTTTTCCGGGTTTTCCTGTAGCTGAAAAAGCGAATGCGCCACTGAATCAATTAAGTCGCCCCGGAGCGCCAATTAATTTTTATTGTTGTTTTTATTTTATAGAAAAATATACCCAAATAACACATAATCACAAGAGAAATAATGCATTTCTAAGTCTGATTCAAACTTATGTATCAGAGTAAAACGTCTTTAAAAAAATTAATGAGTTCCATAACATCAACATATTGATGTATTTAGAGGCGGGGGATTCGAAGAACCCATAACTTGGTTTTTCGTTTGAAAACTCTTAAGTTCTGTATATTTTCCAAAACATCAACATATTGATGTATTTGAAGGCGGGGGATTCGGAGAACCCATAATTTGGTTTTTTGTTTGAAAACTCTCAAGTTTTTTCAAAGTTTTTGGTAGCTCATTATAAAGTTTTGGACCTAGGTAAAAAAACTTCTTTGTAGTATGTTTTTTGATGGTCTTGCGACATGTTCGATTTTTGCCGTGTTAGGTATGGATGACTGATGGCTCGTAGACTTGCTTTGTATTTATGTTGACAGGCTACAGTGCTCACAAAATATACTTGTCGAATATCCAAGATTTTCAATTCATCAAAAAGTTGTTCGGTAGGGTAAGTATACGGTTTTTAAAAAATGACTTCGAGTATCATTTTCTGCATTTTTTCCAGGTTTATGAGGAACGTTTTATTGGCTGCACCCCAAGCAATGACTTCATAATTGAGGTGGCTCTCGATTAGCGCCTAGTATAATATTTTCATTTGACTTGTGGTGAGTATATTCGAATAGTGTTTCATTCTGTATAGAATACTCCTCAATTTCTTTACTACATAATTAATATGTACGTTTCATTTCAAGTTACAATCGAGATAGATTCCTAAGTATTTATAACTGTCTGCCCTTTTAATTCTCACAACTCCATTAGGTCGTTTGATGTCTATGGTGTCAAAATTAGGCATGTTTTGGAGTAGGAAGTGAAGGAAATGAAGTATGTTTTACCTTTATTTACTGTCAGTAGTTGCCCGTCAAACCATTCAAGGATAATTCTGAAGTCTCGTTCTACTACAATTTTCAAATCATCCCAAGTTTTGACTTTGTAGAATACTGCGGTGTCATCAGCAAAGCTCATCACATTTCCTTCTAAATTCAATTTGAATAGGTCGTTCAAATATATATTGAAGAGTATAGGACCAAGGACGGTGCCTTGTGGAATACCAAAGGAATTGTCGCTTCGGATAAACTGACAATCAGATGTCGCCGAACATAGTCTCGAAAAAAGGAACTCTCATTATCTAATTCGAAGATACAGTAATACCCTATAGAATTCAAAACTACTATACAATAGTATATACAGAGGCGATAGAAATTCAAAAACAGGGATACTTTCAATAAAAAAAAGGTAATGAACAATAATTAAATCTGGATACCTGTCCTCAATTGTTCACAAACACGGTCAAAGAAATTGAGCCACGCCAACCTATGATAATATAAAACCGGAGTCAAATACTAGCATTATAGTTTGTGCGTTGGGAACAATGGAAACAACAACTTGAGCACTTTGACTGTTATGTTATCGCCTCTGATCATGTCTACCGCAGTAGTAGACGAAAAGTCGGACAAAAAACTACAGACCACGACCAAAGTAGCTATGACACAATTTCTATTGTTATTTCATTTTTATTAAAAGTGAGATGCCGCTTCCTAATTGATTTCAGTTCATATTTTTTAGTAGCCCAACAAAACATTAAGTATTACCTATTTTGAGTATGACAATTCCATTGGGAACTAGTTTTATTTTTATCTATTTTGTATAATATTTCTGTGGAAAAGATATATTTTTGAGATTTATTATTTGTTTCAGGTGATAACATTAAGTTTTTCATTCTGGTGAATATGATACAAATATCCAATGCTCACCTAAGTCAGCTTCCTTAGCTGTGGCAAATCCTGTATCTATGACTGTGTTTTCCTCTTTTTGATGTTCTCCTTTTCTCGCTTCCATCAATAAATGAATCATATCAGGTCGTATTATATTGTTCTTCTCCCGGACTTGCATGGTATTATCAACCAGATCGCAGAAGAATCTGTTAGCTGTTGGATTCATGTATGTTAGCCCTAGATACTGTAACAAATTTGAGTTTGGGACATAGATGTGAAAATTATAAAGGAATTCCTCAAGGATCGGTTTTGGGTTGAATTTTACACTGGTTATTCGTCAAACATCTGTTCAGTCAAATAACCATGTGGATATATGAGATTTGAAAGTCTCACAGTACTTTTATTTCCAAATGAATATCAATCCATTCAGGAAACACAGTTAACTGAGATTTGAAGCTATTTCGTTGGAGGCTCCAAACTCTTCTGTGATGAACCAAATCATGTAAAATGAAATGTTGATATGTTATTTTGAAAATATTTTCGGAACTTTGCAACGATATTCTGAATTGGAACCGATAGTGGCTGTAGTATATGTGCATAGTACTTTTCGGTTGTTAGTGGTGTCGCTAAAACATGTACTATGAAATGACAGTTGACACTGACGAAAGAACAGTGTTGTTGGCGTTGTTTGGTGAAATTAGACACGTTGTGCGTGGAAACTAAAAACTATGAAATATAAAATTAATCATGTATATCATTGTAAATAAGTATGTAAATAAAGCTTGTAAATAGACTTCATAGTGTGTTAAATGATAACACAGTGGCAAAGAACGATTTTGGTTTCACATGTTGTGAGCCACATCAGCTCCTTGTTGAATATATAACATTCTGTAGAAATTCCCACAAATATGATTGTTTTCCCAAGTGTGATCCACCGAATGAACTATAGTCGATGTCATAATTAACGCACTTTCTTCGAAGTTACTTTTTATAATCGACAGGATCACAATTTTTCTATTGGCAATCGATAGAAAAATATAATTCAATTCCAGCAATCTAACTGCAACGTTATTTCAGAATGATAAAAATATTCTTTGTAGGTCAGTATTTCTATGATGGGTTTTGTGAATTTGAATCATTGTTCAACTAGTTATAAAAGCTTATATAGAAAAATACATGAATAATCTCATACGGTTTTTGACTATTCGAGCTATGATATGAATTTCATTCACGTATAATTTTTTTCATTGAAAGTATCAGTGAATAGATAAATACAATCATAACATATGTAATGGAATCCGCCGATACTCGATGAAAATTCATGATGTATTCAAGAAAAACTTCATTATGAGATTCTCACTAAACAGTTTTACAAACCGAAACATGTGTTTCGCTATACAATAGCTTTAACAAGCGCTATACAATAAATAGCTTGATAAAGCTATTGTATAGCGAAACACGTGTCGCTGTTTCTGTGAAACCTTCAATAGTAAAAATCATACAAATCAAACTGTATCAATGAGTTTTAATATAGACTTTCATCACATATTGGCCAGTTCTATTTAATTTTATGTGATGGAATCGGCCGATACTCGATGAAAATCCATGACGTATTTCACACTTCATTATGATATTTTCACTGAACAATTTCACAAAACGCAACACTTGTTTTGCTATACAATAGCTTCTTCAGGCGAGTATAGCAAAACACGAAACGAAACACATGTTGTGTTTTTGTAAAACTGTTTAGTGAAAATCTAACAATGAGTGTTTTTCCAGAATAAAGAATAATAACAATGAATTCATGTTAATTCTATTCAATATAGAAAGAGTTTCGATACACTTGCCTTAGAAAAAATAATATTCTATGTTTTCGTAGTGCTCAATATACATTAGATTGCATTAGAATGGGAAAATTTACAACTGAAATTGGAGTTCCTATTTGGAATATCATTAGATCATGGAATAGAACCAGATTGATTCAGTTTTTCTATTTAGGGAGATGGTTGAGAACTGCATTTTTTATTTACCTTTATAAGTTTTGGAACCAATGGATATCCTATGTACTTGAATAATATTCCGGAATTTTTAACATCAGTTAACTTTTTCCCCATCGAATAAAATTCATTATCTGGTTCTTTAAGTGAATTGACTTCCACACCAAAGGCAGAGGTGGCTATAACATCGTTAGTAAAACGGGTAAAAGCATCTTTCATTTCTATTTCTATACATTTCTCATCTTTCTTGAGAAAATGATTGACAAAGTCCTCGGTGCATTTCGAAATCAGAACAAACGTTGTTCGCATTTTGCTACTGGTGAACGATGGACTGAGAATAGGTCGCATTTTTCGCCATTGTTGACCTAAAAAATTATAAATCATATTAGTAGCTCTCACGAAAACACATGAGAGAAAACCAGTCAATGAATCACTGATAACAATGATAAAAAATATTTCAGGAGAGCTGAATATGATAACGTGAAATGGACAAATTACCCAAAGGAGAGTTATACAAATAAATTCGATATTTCATTCAATATTGATTATTGTTGACTTCAATAATGACCATACTCTCGTGATTAAACTTATGTCCCTCTATATGAAGGTGTAGCATACGTCGAAGTCATCTATCCATTCTGAAAACTGTTTCTATGTTCTTTTATGCGTGCTCCAAATATTATTTCGGTTTGACGTATGTATAACATCCGATTTGATCAACATGCCCATCATTAACAATATGCTGATATTGGTAATCTTCAATAACGAATCAGGAAAAAATGCCAGTATGTTTTTTGTTGAGTTTTGAGAAATATTGAAGATGAGTGGAAATGAACACTATTTCTGTTTGGCGCACACAGAAATAATTTCGAAAATACGTTTGAAAGATAGTGAGCAAACATATCTCACATGTTCCATTTTGGAATATTTTTTCTTGCAACTAGAAGTTTTCATTATGAAATGAACAGTTTAGAAAAAAAAAAAATGATTCTGGAAATACTATCCTGTTACTCAAGCGGTGGAACGGTGCCACCTATGATATAAATATATATTCTTTTGAATTATACCGTCAACAGACACACTTTACCTATCAATAGAATCAACTTGTCTTTTTCCATAGGAAGAAAATATTACTCTATTTTCTGTTGAAAGTTCAAAGGCCAGGGTAGGGGAGTTAGTCGTTATATTCTTTAGTTTACTTCGAGAGCGCGTAGAATAAAAAGCTTTACAACATGGAAGCTAGTTGTTCGTGAACCTTGAAGTGTCCAAAACTGTCAGCATTGAATATAAATGAAAAAACAATATATTCTTCAAGAGTACAATATTCACTCGAAATAAAAATTAAGGAGGAAATAGTGCAAAAATGCGCGAGTATGACTGGTTTCAATAGATCGACAATTTTTATAATTATTGAGGAACTCAAGGAAAGCAACATCTTTTTGGAGCCGGAAGTATGCACTGACAGAAAGTGTTTGATTATCGATGAAGAAGTCAAAATTCTATTAGGAGAACAGTACACTTTTTTCACATAAAAAATGAAATACTTTCATTGAATGAAGTTTTGTCAGTTATTCGTGATATAAGAAGAACATTAAGGAAGATATTACAAGAACACTGGGTAAATGTATTTTTCATTTGGATGAAACGTAGGTCAATGAGGGTCATACGGTCTCAAAGGTATGGCAAGACCAGAACAACAAAAGTGGAAGACAAGCCTTCATGGAAGGTTGGTCTACTGGTTTCAAAATTCCAGTTGGAAAGGCTCGTTATCTGAACTCACATAGGGAGCAGTAAGGAATTCCTGAACGATGTATTGATGCTGTTTGAATCGAAAGAAAATGGGGTGTATCATCAAGAAATGGATGCCACTGTATTCGAAGGATGGTTTAAAAACATACTCGTAAAACTTCCGCAGAGATCCGTAGTAGTAATGGATAATGCAAGTTACCACAGTAGACGAGTCAAGAAGCTACCGATATTGTGTTGAAGGAAGGCAGATATTACTTTCGAATCAACCATGTTAAAAGCGGAGCTCTTCAATTTGGCTAAACGTCATGATTCAAAATTCGTCAAGTATGTCACCGATGAGATGGCGAAGTCTAAAGAAATGCCGGTTCTTTGGTTGCTGCCTTGTTACTGAAAATTGAATCCAATAGAGTTGGTTTGGACTCAAGTTGAAGAATTCATCGCAAGGAATAACAAGACGTTCAAACTGTGTCTAGTGAAGAAATTCCTATGAAGTGCTCTGGAAACAGTCGACCAAGAAGCTTGGGAAAAATGTATCCACAAAACAATCAGAATCGTAGCATAGATGTTGGATCTGGATGATCGTATAGACTCATTATCAGAAAAAATCCAGTTGCCATCAATCCTAATAAAACTGATCCAGTAAGGAATCACTTAACGAATATCTGTAAAATTTTTTCAGAATACAAGTTATCGCAATACCCCATTCGATGTAAGTATTTCATTGAGTCTATGGAATTGTTTCTGAATCAACTATAAAATTCAGTGAAAAAATGAATCTTCATTTCCAAACCAACAAGATATCGTTTACCAGCTTTCACTTATTATTGACATGGTTTCTTATTTGGGATTTTTACCCTCCACACACACATATATGTTTACTGTAAACCAGGTATCTTGTTCCCACTACGAACGATAAGCCTCAGAAGTCGAAACTGGTGCGAGTAATGAATTAACACAACGCTTACTTGGAATTACTGAAAAACTCTCATAAAATAATTGAAATGCAATTCTTCACGAAACTGCTTCTCAAGAGTGTTAAATTTTTTTTATAGTAATTGCCAAAATGTTTATAAAACTGTCTTGTAGTGTTTATAAAATGCCTTACAAAATATAATTAAAGACTATAATATTTTATGAAACTGTGCCAATTTCCTATTTATAACTGTTTCATGAACATATTGAAAACATTTCTGAGAGAAATACAGTTTTATAATTTGTTTCTTCGAAAGGTGTTCACAATCATTATAAAATATTGTTGTAAATCACGCCCTAAAGAAAATAACGCTGGCCGCCACTGGTGATCATAAACCAATTGTGACGTAGCTAAGAGCGCGCCAATGTACTATGTTCGCTGCCGCTCTAGATGTAGCGAGAATAATGCTACCGATTTCGATGAAATTCCGGCGAATTTTCTGCCGCATTCGATCACGATATATGAACTCTAGCCACGAGCATATCCAGTCTGGAAGTTTATTTTCCTCTGTACCTAGATATATATATATATACAACTTTTACATCTATAATTCCTCTTCAGTATCTTCATTATTGATATTCATCAAAAAGAACTTCTGGTGCTGTAATCGATGAGTAAATTTCTATAATGTAATATTTCGACACCAATCAGTATCTTAAGTATATTTTCAAAGAAAGCCACGCAAAACTGAATTTATTATATGAGTATTGAAGGAAATTCCAATTCTAAAAAATATAGAAAAAATAAACATTTGAAAAAAAAATCGTCAAATTCGGAGTTGTTTTTGAGGACTCCCGAAAAAAATACTTTGTTGATTTGATTACATATTCCAATGAATAAAGCATTATTTTGGTAAAATAACCATATCTTACCTCATTATTCGTAGAGTCACTGTTGAAAATAGTCACTAAAAAAATTTTAGAGCAAGGAATTCATGTAAACGAAATACTATTTCATTTTTCTATCTATTTACTCATGCAATTCGGATCAGCTATTATCGACCAACTGTGAATCAACTGAACCAATTTCAAAATTATTTCACTATTAGAAAGCTACATCATTCAAAAGTAACATATTCTACTTATTATCCCGATATATTCACAATATTGGGGTCTAAGTGGGTAAAATCGTAATATTTTTTCGGTATTTCATGCGGAAATAGTCTTGAAAAAACTATTGTATATAAATGCATTTCAATAACTCATTTCATGTTAAAGCTCCAACAGTGACGATTGAGAAAAAACTAAACAACGAATTCTGATCATTCACGAATGGAAATTATTTGTTATTGATAATAATGAATCTTCATTGGTGCGTTTACACTCACACTCTGAGGTGACAGAATTTTTGAAAATCGGTTGAGTAATTAACGGAACGGAGTAATTAACGTGTTTCACTATCAATAGCTCCTCTAGGCATACTCATATGAAAACAGCATTTATGGTATCAATTTAGATTATTTCGAATTTCTTTCAGGAACAATACCTATACATACCTTTTGAAAAAAATAAATTTTTGCCAAATAATGGATCAGCCTCCTCTGGAATAAAGTTTCTGTGATTGGTGAAGTGATCAAAATCTTTAACAGTGATTCTTCTCAAAAGTTCTGGATCTTTTATTACCAAGGTAGGTGCAGACATATGATAGATCCCATGATATCTGGAAACAAAGCGATAACGTTAATATACATGAGAATGAACACATTACAACTGTCAATGAATGGGGAAGTTATACAGGAGTTTATTTTCATAAAAATTGTTAGATTGGATATTTTTTCGAATAAATCACTCATCATTTGAAAATACTATTCCATTTCTAGAACAAAAATACTGCCCCTCAACGCAATTTCCGTTTATCAAGTGAACATCATCAGGAGATCTAAGCCACAAGAACTAAGTTTGATACCAGAATACTTGAACCAACAACCAAATTTTTCATTAGCTATTTTTTTAATGTTTCAGTTCAACAATAATAACGGTTTCAAACGTGAATACAGATGATTGCTATTACTAATATTTACTTCTCTTTACTTCATAGAATGTGAAAATGAGTATGTGTAACTACAGAAATCTGTATCATTATATTAAAGTCATTATCCTTCTATTGAACAGCTCTGATAGTCCTTTGAATAGAAACTGGTTATTAGCTTTTTTTAGGATCATGTGAAAGAATCGATCATTAGACCTACCACGTTACCTTATGTTCATCGCTTATTTCTGTGAAAACTGTATCATTCAATTTTAGTTCAATGGTGAACAATGAAAATTATATTTTTCACTCTTGATATTATTATTATTATTTTTTCACCGTAGTGTGCGCTGGTCAGGCCCTATCCCCCGAAGCCCCGATACATTCGGGAGGGCGCGCCAGCATTATCAACCAATGACCACTCCCCACACTGGGTGGTCATTGGTAAGTGGGGTAAGTGATCATTGGGTCCGAGAATCATGTGCCCTGAGCAAGCGCAGTGAGCCAAGAATTACAGCCTTCTGCATCTGTGCGGCTGAGATTTCTTCCTTAGTGCGGCAAGCCGGTATGATTTTAAGATTCGAGAGTAGAGAGGATATTATTTCACCAAGGACTCCAATAATCAGAACAACCATCTTGAGAGAGTGATCTGGATAGAGTCTGCGGAGTTCGAAGAGAAAATCTCGATATTTTATTCGTTTTTCCTCCTCTTTTCTGACGATATTCGTCTCGCCAGGAGCTGAAAACTCCACGACAAATATCGTTTTGCTCTGGTGGTCGAGAAGGACTACATAAGGCTTATTAGCTTGTATGAGCCTGAGGGTGGGGAACGAATAGTTTCAATAAATTCGGCATTTCCCATTCCTAACAACGGATTCAATATTCCCCGGAGCTTAGGGCAACACCGGTGTCTCGTTCATACCGTAGGAGTGCCATAGATGTTGATATAGCACTCTTAGGGCCGCGTTATGTCGATGGATATAGGCCGAGACCGCATATGCTGGACATGCTGATAGCAAGTGCATTAGGGTTTCGAGGGCCTCGCAGCAGGCCCTGCACCTTGTGTCAGGAACCTCCATACCCATAACGCGACTGCGGTAGACTAAAGTGTTGAAAACACCATCCTGGCAAGCCATGATGAACCTCTCAGTTTCCGACTTCAGCCCACTCGACCTGAGAAAAGCGAACGTCAGGCGCTTTGATAAGCCAAGGTCTCCAATGTTATTGAAGAAGACCCCATGCATTGGCTTATCCTTGTGTCTCCGCAGAAATAAGGTGATCTCTGCGGCTTTTATCTGAGCTTTTTTCTGAACGGGTTCCAACTCGGTGACAGAGTTGTGGTCACCTCGTTCAGAGTCGAAAACTATACCGAATTCATCAGCTGCTCGGGCAGCTGCCCTGAAGAGAAATGCTCCAATGCCTGCTCTCTCATGGTCACGGACCATGCAGAGAAGGGGATTCAAACCCCTGACGACTTTACAGGCTGTATCCAGTACCATTTTGTCATGTAGACACTCCAAACAAACTCAAAAGTCCACGGCCCCCCTGTTGTCGGGGTAAGTTCAACCGTGGAACGGACGATTTATGATGCAAACTCCTATAGAGATGCATAATTTTTCGGGTCTTTACGTCGAGTTGATACAGCTCCTCCCGAGTCCACTTCACTACTCCAAACGAGTAGTGTAATATTGGAACGACAAGCAAATTTGTTGCAGCAACTTTGTACTTCCCCGACAGTTCCGATGACCAGATCTGTCCGAAGTTTGTGCTGATACTTGTCGCGGAGAAAGTTCTTCACTGCTGTTATCTCTTGCGAGTGGCGTTGTTCCACCTCGAGGTAAGTATACGTCTCCCCGGCATCCAGATGTTGTAGGATGCTTCCATCTACGAGCTGCACATCCTCTCCGTAGTCCCCGCATCGTCCTCTTTTGAGATGGACCATTGCACATTTGCCTATCCCGAATTTCATACCGATAGCATGCGTGTACTCTTCCACCACCCTCAAGGACTGATGGATATCCTTCTCTCCATTAAAATCATCCATATAAAACAGATGGGTGACCTTCTGCCTCCGGCTTCCGGGGGTGCCACAGTTCTACCCTGGAGTATTTCTGAGCGCAACGGATAATGACAATAGTGAGATGCAGAAGAGAAGGGAACTTATTATTTTTATTATTTTCAACCTAAGGTTGACCTGATCAAGCCCTACCCCCCGAAGCCTCGATTCATACAGGAGGAAGCACGGAAGCGTCATCAATCAAGGAACACTTCTCACACCGTGGGGTAGGTAATCATTGGGTCCGAGAATTATATGCCCTGAGCAAGCATAGTAAGACAAGAATGACAGTCTTCTGCATTTGTCCGGCTAAGATTTCTGCCTCAGTGCGGCAAGCCGGTGGATTTTGAGATTCGACAATAGAGTATAGGCATCATTCCACCAAGAAGAGCAACCATCACAACTGAGTGGCCTGAACAGAGTATGCGAAGAACATTTTGATATTTCATCTGTTTTTCCTTCTCTTTTCCTCCTCCTCCTGTATTCAAATCACTGTTAAAGTAGCTACTGTGTTAGCGAAACAAGTGATATATTTCTCAAATAAAGTTTGTGGAGATCAAATCGTAAGGTGTAGTTTATGAAACTGACTACTGAGGTTATTAGATTCATATTCTGAGTAGTTATGTCAATAACTATGCGAAGTACCTAGACTATTTGAAGTATTATCAGCCATGTAGCGTAGCAGAATTATTCCACCTTCAACTACCTTTTGTCGTGGTGAAAAGTGCAAGTTATAAGGTGGGACCTCGCTTGTCCTCAGCTCGCACAAGTTCTGGCTTTTAAGGGTTGTCGTTCGTATGTTGGCGATAGCTCGTTGATGGAAAAACAAATTTTCACTAGATGAGTTTTCAGGAGAAATATATTTTTTTCCGTTTATGTAGTATTTTTTGTTATAGATGATGAATGGACTGACGTATTACTTGATGAAAATTATTAACACCATCTATGATAAAAATTTGAGAATTTTCACAAAAATTTCTTAACACTAGACGCATTTAGCTAACGTTTCGCTAGCTTAATCGGTAGTGATGAATAGAACACATTGGATTAATTGGTTGATAGTAACTAAGCAGGTGAATTTGGAGATAACCGGTAGCATTTGTGGAACATTTACAATCTCAGTTCTTGAACACTAGGTAAGCTTTGAATATGAATGAAATTATTGGCATTATGAATTAAGTTTTAACAATTGTGAGTGTTTAACCTTTTGTTGGTCATTCAATAGGGAATTGGAATGTTTGCCCTTATTGATTTCCAGCGACTCCAGCAGATTCAATTTCTGTCCTTTATTTTCTATATGTAGTATGCCGTAGATATTATTGAAATCGTGATTGTTTTCCAATAGATAGCACGCATAATTGGGATTGGTCTCCTTCAGTTCGAAACTTTTCTTATGTTCGCAGATTGTCGTTTGAAGTCCTTCCTACATGAAGTTTTGGCATGATCCGCATGTAAGCCTATCCATTTGCCTGCTCATTCACTGTCAAACAATTACCAAAGTGAGTTAACTTGCTGTTGTATATAAGAATTGTAGTCCGGTGTGTACTATTCAATACTACCCATGAAGCTACGGTGTTGGCGAAACGCGTCTAGAATCATAAAATGATTGTGAACATTGAACAATTATAATTGTCGGTGATATTACATATGAAATTGAATAAAAATATCTCGAATTTCTCAGGGAAATATTCTGTAATTATATTCATGTAGTGCGGACGCATATAGTCTTCTTCTTTTAACTTTTGAACGAGATGAAATATCAAGATATCAGAATTCACGTAAAAAATATAATTTGTTGTATTTTTCGATGGGGAAGACAATAGTGTTACATCACTGTGTATGCTGTTTTCGTCGAGTGCATTGGCTTGGGATGTGGGGGTTGAGCAAACCGGCCATCAGATGCCTGCTTCCACGTAGCCCCGCTGGATACGGAAATGACAGAATCACTTGTGGTTATTCTCTAACTGAATGGCATCCCAACGATGGCTTAATCCTAAGGTGTGTGTATCCGTGCTGAGAGGATGAATGACACTGAGCCTACCAGCTGTCTCTACGGAACCTTCGAGATACCGGGCGTCCTCTCGTCCCGGTAATGCGGGACTCTGCCATGATTGATCTTGCTTCCCTAGTTACTCGTGGGACTTTTATGGACAGAGTCAACTTAAAAATTCTTTCTGACGCTGAGTCTATAGAGAAGATGGATTTCGAACTTACGACTCCAGTGATCAAGTGCGAGTCTACAGTGGAGATGGATGTCCAGTTTATGACTCCAACTGACCTTCCTGTAGAATTAATTTAGGTGCGAGTCTACAGAGGAGATGGATGTCGAGTATACGACGCCAACTGACCTCCCTGTGAATTTAGTTCGGGAGCGAGTCTACAGAGGAGATGGATGTCGAGTTGACGACTCCAACTGACCTTCCTGTAAATTCAATTCAGGAGCGAATCTACAGAGGGGTGGATGTCGAGTTTACGACTCCAACGGACCTCCCTGTAATTCAGTTCAGGAGCAAGTCTACAAATGAGATGAATGTTGAGTTTACGACTCCAACTGACCTTGTAAATTTAGTTCAGGAGCGAAAGCTTCTCAACTCCCCAACTCCTGATCCAACAACTATACCTTGAAAAAAAGTTCGGCGGTGCAGTCAGGAAACGACTGAGTCGTCTCCTCAAGAGCGGGGTACCTTATAAAACCGCCTTGCACCAAATTCTTGAGCGGCGTACGCAGAATCTGTTTCAGGTAGGGGAACCAACCTCCCATGAGCAGGTTAGCAAACGTTTGCGCTAAAAAGATGATTCATAAAAACCAGAGGCGAAAAAGCTCTGCACGGCTGAATCTAAGGCATCGTCAGGTGTAGCTGACGTACAAAAACCCTCATATGGAAAGGTTGTCGTGGGTATCGAAGTGGGAATTTTGCAACTTGACTATTCGACTACCTCATTAACAGAGCATATACTTTGTGCCTGCCCCACTGGGGACCGAATCAGGTTCTTAGAGTTCGGCAGAGTCGTACTCTCACCATCTGACCTGAAAGACCACCCACTATACAAACTAATCGGCTTTGTTGAGGGGCTGGGTTTATTTGTCCGAGTGCGAAAAGTTATAAGCCAAAATAAAAACTCGCGTGTTGCGGTGGAGGGTCGAGTAGACCCACTCACTTTGGACCTAACCTAACCTACATCACTCGTCGTCAAGAGAGCGCTATCAACTTTCCACAAACAGAAGTTGTGAAAACACTAGTGATGATTATTTTAATTCTCATCAGATACTTTTCGATTTTTCGACGTGATAAATAGGTACCTCATTATACTGTAACATAATGTCAGTTGGAAACCCACTTGAATTAATCAATTTTCCAAACAGTCGTGATCTCATGGAAGACCTCAATGAATCACCTGAAATAATACTTCTAGCTGTTTTTGAGGGTTTGTGCCACATCTGAATTATACGATACACAACTACAGTCCATTTTATATAATTTCAATATAGTAGAATTAGCTTTTAACAAATGTTTTCTTGGAATTCTGATATTTGCCGATTGTTTACAGATTCTTGAAACAAATATATAAATGCTCAGTATTCAAAATGGCTAATCAGGTTTATAAAAATGGAAGGGGATCGAATGAAAATTTGAAAATGAAATTGGTAGCACCTTCTTGACGACGAGAGACGCAACACTCTCTCCACCTAACAAAGTTAAATAATATCTCTACTCGAATAACACAAAGCTGCATTTTTCTTATTGATTATGTGGAATGTTGTAGACAACGGGTTGCATCATCTTGGACCTAAATCAATTACTAGCACTTACAAATGGTCATACGACGAAAATCAGTTCGAATGAATCTGTTGCACTTCTTTCTGTCACTGACTATGATGTTAGAAAAATAAATCCACTAGAATACAGGAACACGTAGAAAATGATACGATTACATTTGTTCATTATGGTGAAAATTCAAGATTGACTATGGACAATAAGTTTTCAGACAAATAACGTCAGGCAGTCTGAAGTGTCGTTGAAATGGCACATATCTTAGTTATCTCAGATCTTACCAAGAAGCAATAAATAATGTTAATTTTACAAGTTTTTCATTATCTCAATCTGCGATGAGAGAAATAATTTCAAATTCCAGGAGTTCTTTACATATCAACAGACATATTTTGAATACCCAGCTTTTCAATTTTCAACTGAGATATTTACAATATCATATTGTGATTAAATGCAGAATAGTTCCAGCACTCTAGTGTTGAATTGTGTACTTAAAGGAATATCAATTATATTTAAGGTTGAAGTCACTTACCTTGTACCCTGAAATTGGTTATAATACCCAACAATTCTATCCAAAACATTATTCTTTATAATTGCTTGTCTCCTGCTATCGATATACAGCTGAATTGGATGACCTTCTTGTTTGACACCTCGTTCTCTCCAGTAGTTCCATGGTTTAATATAGAAGTAATAGAAAATGGCGACTAATGCAGCAGCCCCCAGAAACCACTGAATCATCTTGCAAATATCTCACTGATTGAAGTGTTACAAAAAAATCGTCATTACTCATGCAACTGGGTTGGTAATCTGGAACCAATTAACAATTTGTTTCAGGATACGTCTGGAAATAAATAGTTATTTTTGTATCAAGTGCGTAAAATGAGTGTATTTTCAATGGCACATGAGAGTGTTAATTTTTGTCCGAGACCTCAGATCGAGGCCAGAAACTCTCCCGAATGTGACATGGAAAGACGAATTTTATACACGAAATACAAACAATATTTTTTGTACAACTGTGAATGTGAATTTACATCGTCATCGTATGAAATATATTGAAAATAAATACTTTCACATCTTGACGTGGTTTTTTGTACCGATGAGTTATTGCTTTTGAACGACTGTTGTCTTGAAAATATAATTCAATGTTTCCACTGAAAGTGTATTCAAAAATTTTTCCTGTCTAAAAAAAAAAGTCCAAAATAACTTAATAATACTTCTCTATCTCTCTCCATTAATAATCGACTATGTTAAAAATAAATTCTTCGAAATGTAATATTTCATGTTCCTTTTGTGAATAATTTTTTCACGGTCAAAAATAGTGAACATTTACTTATCAGTTGTACAAGAAAATTATTTCTGCGGTTTATTTCATCATGAACTCTTCTTAATTCCATATCTAATAATAACAAATCAATTGAAAGAAATGACTTTCCTTCTGAAAATAATCAAGTGTACATTTCTAAAATACCATTTGTGACAAACCGATTTCGTTAGAAATGGGGCGAAGGAAAAATATAAAAAAATGAGTTTCGTGTAAACATTATAGATAAACGATATAGATTATAAGTATTGAATTCCATTCTGAAAATTTTAATGGGTATCAACAATTCAAAAAAATCATGTTTCAAATGAACGATTTGCAAAGATGTTAAAAAATATACCTCTTCACATTTAAATAATACACGCCATTTCCATTCTGGTCTGATCGCTCATCAAACAATTCATCGTGTTACAAGCTCTGTCCAGCAGTTTGTTCAAGGACAAAACACAAGCACTACATGGCAATCCTTAAGGCGCCCTCAGAGCGATGCCTTTGCGAAAGTAGGGATTCACATTGGATTTGAATCGCTGGAGAATAAATTCATTTACAAAAACGTTCCCAGGAAGTTTATTCCACATAAACGCAGTTCTCAAGATGAAAGAGTTCTCAAACAGTGAATTCGAGGTGTACTGAGTCGAACCTCGAAACCTATGAGTAGCCACAGTCCGTCGCGTATTTCTGATATGTACCGCTCTTGGTGAAATCAAATGTGCCAAGTCACCTGAACACCTTTCGTGAAAGTATCTATAGGAGAGAGACAAGTCTCCAACCTTTCTTCGATGTTCCGAACTATCAAGGTTGCACGTGATGTTCGCGTCTCCAATCAGGCGGATGGCTGTTTTCTGGATGGAATCCAACAACTTCAGAGTATGTTTGGGGGCATAGAGAACAATACTCCAAATAGGAATGAGGTCTGATCTTTATGAAGCATCAAGAGTTGCTGAGGTGTGTATAGTTTTCTAGTTTGGGACAGTGTCCCAAATTTTTGAGAAGCAGCTATTGCAATTCCAGTGACATGATTGTGCCGAAACATATTGGTGTCCATTTCAACACCAAAAAAATTTATCGAAGCAGAAAGCAGAATTGTCTAACCTAACATTATTATATCCGGTTCGGCAACATTTATCTTCTTGAATAAAACCGATGCCTGGATTTTTGTGGCATTTAATTGAACCTGGTTACTCTCATCTCACTTCGGAATCACTTCTAGATCCTTATTAAGATATTCAACCTCCTGCTGCCGGTGAAGATGTGTTTCCGCAGCCGATGTTTTGGGATCCAAATGTAATAACGAGACAAGTGTGTTGTAGTCAGCAAAGCAATATATTGGATCCTTGGTTTTTTTCCAATAAATCGTTGATTTAAAATAGAAGGGGTAAAAACATTATGGATCCCTGGGGAACACCAGCGTTGATGGTGAAAGTATTCGAGAGATATCCACCGACGAAATATCCAGGGAACGTTTTTTCAGGAAGCTGAAGAGCCATACACAGAAATAATCCGACAACTATGTGTATTACAGCCCTTCTCAACTGTATATGTTTAGTTTTGTAACGAACATGTATTGAGAGGGATTTTTCTTCCAGTTTGTATCTGGAATACTTTAATGCATGGTCACTTCTACACATTGTATAAAGAGTTCATTAAAAATTCCATTGTTTTCTTCCTTCCTTTGGCAGTTTCCCAAATTTTTTGTATGAAGATAGAAATGTAGAAAAGTAAAACCTTTATGTCCCAAAAATATACCTTTTTCAATTTTGACAAGATTCCTGAGGCTGGAATTGAATCAAATAGGCATATGAATGTCATTACGCTGATCAGTCATCGTGACATGAGTAGATTCAACTCAAGATGCAGACATATAGTCGCATTATTATGAATGAATTGAGTATTCCATTCACATTAGTGCTGATGAGGCAATAAGACAAATGTCTTATTCTGAAGCTTCGAAGTCCGCTCTTGGGATTGACAAGTTTCATGCGAGTGAAATTTCATATCGTAAACTCTTTATAGTACTACATTGTGCAGTTTTCCTGATTCAATTCGACAACGAAAGTTTGTAGTATAAACTGAATAGCAAAAAGTGATTGTTGTTCAATCAAATGCTCATATCTGTTTAAAAATCTGTTCAAAATCTGTTTTTTCGTTAACCAGGTGTCGTACCCCTACGAACGACAACCCTCAGAAATCGAAACTTGTGCGATCTAAGGACTAACAAGGTCTTATTTTTCAACGTGTGATTCCTAACACATGTTGGACGATAGCAAGTGAATATCGATCGTTCATCCTGTGGCTTGAACCACCGACCAACACGGCGGTCGATTTGAGTGAGTGAACAAAGCACCCACATCAAACCGACAGGTTACCCACCGACCGGCTAAACGTAGTTCTTTCGAAATTACTTTTTCTTTCGTGCCATTCAATGTTTATATGAAAGTATTTTTCCAAGGAGGCTTTTTCGTTCAGTTCATATCTGAAAATAACTTCTATGTATGATCTATAAATTTTTGTGAAGAGTCAATTCGAAAATAATTTGTTACTTTGGAAATTTTACACATTTGGATATCATAAATGCTAGGTATACTTGTCAATTCGAGTTTTTTGTATGAATCTGGTATAGGTATGGTAATGAAATAAGAGAATGTCTCTGATTTTTAAGTCCAGTTGAGATCTCTGAAATGTTGCTAATCTCATTTTGTTGCATTCTCATTTTGGAATGCCATTTTGTGGTGTCATCGACAAACACAGTGACTTTGCCTTCAGTGTCGATAAATAGATCATTCTCGTACATAAAAGACAGAACCATATGGAATGACTCGGATCTGAGTCTTGTGAGTCTTATAGGAAATTCTGAAATACCTAAATACCCGATTTTTCTGATAATCCAAGTTCAATGTCGGAACTGAACAATATTCCTAATTTGAAAATATGATTCAATGTTTTTTCAAATATAGATTTTGAACTCCCAAGTTATTGAAATTTCAATTTGAATACGCAATTTTATTCATAAAAAATGTGTGGCGAAGACCTTTGTATGAATCGATGAAAACTTGTTGAAAAAGGCTAAATTTCTTGAAAATTTTTGTATCTTTGTGAACTTTTTGGTTATGGTAGCTCCTCAATCAGGAAAAGTGAACAATTTACACTACTGCGATTCAAATTCCACAACAAATAGGTGAATACATATCAAATTTTTCTATTTAGAATTGGTGATGACATACGAGTACTTTCATATGGGGGAAAGTAAGTTATATTGAAATTTCAATCAATCATCCTGCTTAGAATTCAACAAGTAGGTGTACCCTCTTTTCAACATTTAAACTTATGAAAAAAAATGATTCGAAAATTTGGTTACCTGTCAAGCTAAACAACAAACAACTGTACAAAATTTATCTTCCTGACTTTTGACAGACTCGCAAAGCGAATGAAAAACAACTCAACTCAATGATATCTACGACGTAATAAATACTCTGCAAATAACCTTGAGATCATTATAACTCATTGTTATCATGATAAGTAACTCACCAAATACGATTTGATCAACTTGTTATCTGTGTCTGATAAGTGAGTGCACTGACGTGATAGCGGTTAAAGGATCTGGTTTGAAATAGTTCAATCACTTTTTGTTTGATGAGAAAACTATCGACAGTGCACTGTCTAGTCTTTGAAGATCCCATTTCACAGAAAAAAACATTGATTTCCATTTTTTGACGAATAATAATGATATGTTTTTCGTCTACAAAGACGCTATTTCAACTTTGCTTCTACAAAACCAACAAGGGTCTCCGTCGCTGATATTGCTCCATGTTTTTCTCTGCAGCTGTCACTGCAACGTGATTAGTTGTAACCATATCCCAAAAAAAAACATGATTCAACCCCATGGTGTACTATTGATATCTGCTAGAGGTATCATCAATGCTACTAGCCCTCCACCCACTAAAACATGAAACTAGTTACATTTAATATTTCCGAAAAAATCTTCGTGGAATATATTTTTCAAATTAGCATGCAAACACCGTAGACAAGTTTTCATAAACGTTGTTTGGTTATCATCAATGATGAGGTTAACATTAGGATGTTCCTGAAATGTCCTTATGAAATAAATAGGCAACATCATATATTTTATGCAGGAATAGTCGAAGTGAAAGATATTGTGCACATTTAAAGGTGGTGGCACTCCCAAAAAAAACCAATACAAAGAAATGAACTAGTCCACGTGGACTGTAGATTTGACGGTTCGTATTGGATAATTTTTACTAATCGAGTTTTATGATTGGCTGAAGAGTCATAAAATTAAATTTTGAATAATGTTACGGTGACGATTAGAAATCGGGGAATGCGGAAATTGTTATCGCCGTCGTGTTCAGTTCAGAAACTGATCGCGATTTGAGTGTTGAAATTCAATAATGGTGCAGTTATAATTATTACTTAAAATTTTTTTATGTATATGTATAAAAATTTACATCTCGAATTTTGTTTCGAGGAAAACAAACAATTACAAGCAATATCAGATTTGACCGAAATTCCTTTCTCAACTGTACGTAAAATTGTCAAAAACAGACCTTATGAACGCAAGACGCGATATGATACAGGATTACCAAAACCGTTAGATGTTCATCTAATAAAATCATTGAAAAAAACAATATACAAAAGCAATGAGATTCTTACATCTGAAATCATGAGGAAGTAATTGAATACTTTCAGCTATAACGTGAGCTGCTGTGACAAAACTCTTCAGAATTGGATAAAGAAACTAGGATTTAGATTTAAAATAATAAAAGAAGTCAAGCAGTTGTGGAAAGCAGAAGAATAGTGGAATTCTGTAACAAATACTCAGAACAGATAACTAAATGCACACAAGAATAACGGCAAATTTTCTATTTGGACGAAGTTTGGTGAGACACTAACGACACAGTTACGAAAGGGTGGACTTATGGTTCGAGAATGTATACGCCTAAAATGCCTGAAAACAAAGGATCGCGACTAATCATTTTCCATTGTGGAGGAAGTAAAGGATTGGTTCCGAATTCTTTGAAATCAGGTGGAAAAAAACTTGAGCACTGCATATCGTTAGAACATGAAGGCTAATATTTTCGAGGAATGGTCTGAAAACACATTTATCCCAAATTTGGATGCGAATAGTTTAAATATTTTCACGCATCAGCCGTGAAAATAATTTTCCAAAATTTGATAAGGAGGTGATAGAGCAGGCGGGTTGGCCGTCCTTGTTCATCTTTCACTGCCTGAACCGCTGTGCATGCTGTTTTCGGCGAGTGCATTGGCTTGGGATGTGGGGGTTGAGCAAACCGGCCATCGGATGCCTGCTTCCACGTAGCCCCGCTTGATACGGGAATGACATAACCACTTCTGGTTCTGTTATTCCCTAACTGAAAGGCATCCCAACGATGGCTTAATCCTAAGGTGTGTGTATCTGTACCGAGAAGATGAATGACACTGAGCCTATCAGCTGTCTCTACGGAATCTTTGAGATACCGGGCGCCCTGTCGTCGTAGCATCGCCTTGTGGAACTTTTATGGACAGAGTTAACTCAAAAATTCTTGCTGACGCTGAGTCTATAAAGGAGATAGATGACGAGCTTACGACTCCAACTGACCTCTCTGTAAACTTAGATCAAAAGTGAGTCTACAGAGGAGATGGATGTCAAGTTTACGACTCTAACGGACCTACCTGTAAATTTAGTTCAGGAGCGAGTCTACAAAAGAGATGAATATCGAGTTCACGACTACAACTGACCTCCCTGTAAATTTAATTCAGGAACGAGTCTACAGAGGAGATGGATTTCGAGTTTACGACTTCAACTGACCTCCCTGTGAGTTGAGTTCAGGAGCGAGTCTACAGAGGAGATGGATGTCGAGTTTACGACTCCAACTGACCTCCCTGTAAATTTAGATCAGGAGCGAGTCTACAGAGGAGATGGATGTCGAGTTTACGACTCCAACTGACGTCCCTGTAAATTCAATTCAGGAGTGAGTCTACGGAGGAGATGGATATCGAGTTTACGACTCCAACGGACCTCCCTGTGAATTTAGTTCAGGAGCGAGTCTACAGAGGAGGTGGATGTCGAGTTTACGACACCAATTGAGCTCCCTGTAAATTTAGTTTAGGAGCCAGTCTACAGAGGAGATGGATGTCGAGTTCATGACTCCAACTGATCTCCCTGTGAATTTAGTTCAGGAGCGAGTCTACAGAGGAGATGGATGTCGAGTTTACGATTTCAAATGACCTCCCTGTAAATTTAGTTCAGGAGCCGGAGCTTCTCAACTTCCTAAACGTTTGCGCTCAAGTGATTTTTCACCAAAACCAGAGGCGAAGAAGAACTGCACGGCTGAATCTAAGGCGTCGTCAGATGTAGCTGACGTGCAAAAACCCTCATGTGGGAAGGTTGTCGTGAACAGAGCATATACTTTGTGCCTGGCCCGCTGGGGACCGAATCAGGTCTTTAGAGTTCGGCAGAGCCGTACTCTTATCATCTAATCTGAAAGACCACACATCATTCAAACTAATCGACTTCGTTAAGAGGCTGGGATTATTTGTCCGATTGTGAATCAGGAACAGTTAGTGGTTGTCTGTTGCTGTTTCTGGACCTCCTCAATGATGCAACATGAACTTGAACAAATTTCATTATTTCGGACTTTTATTGTCTAATATGATATGATTTGGACTCTGAAATAACAAATGAAAATGGAAATTAAAAGGAATAGCAGAAAATAATGATTATGTCCAGCAAAAAACGTGAAAAAAATTCACAATAGAATAAAAAATCAAGCAAAACATCGAACAATTGAAATGGATTCAAAATTAAGAGATATCAAGCTAATTCACTTCACGACGTTTCGATTGTTATGATCCATAATCGTCTTCGGGTGATGGGGAGGTGGTATAATTGGGGATCAGGTCATAGGACCATATTTTTTCAAATTTTTTTGATGGACCTCTGAAGGAAAAAATTCATCGAGATTTTTTTCGAATTGATTCATCAAATTTTTTGGAGGATGTACCGATTGACACAAGGCGTAGGTTATATTACCAATATCGAGTAAGGAGGTTTTTGGACCGGTAGCGTAGGAATAAATAGATTGGAAGACATCGACCCATTGACTGGTAAGTACGATCTCCAGATCTCACGCCCATATATTTCTATCTCTGATATATTAAAGGAAAGGCCTTACGAAAGAAACCAACACCAGAAGACACGAAGAATAGGGTCAGAGACGTTTTTCGGTGTACTACAAGATGATGAACTTCGAAGGAAGATTGTTGATAGACTACATTTATGCATAGCTCAGAATTGAAAAATATTAGACTATCTATTGTATATATGTGCATCTTTGAATTGTTTAGTTTCATTTCGTTTCATGATTTGTCCGTCACTGAATAAAAAACGTTATTGCTTCTATTTAATGACATTTTCATACACTACTCAAGAACAACATTTTTTTTACGATCCACGACCCTTCAGAAGTAGTCAGATAGAATAGGCCAAAATATGCAATCAGTTTTCAAACTACTCAAACGTTTTCATTATGGGTGACAATTTTTCATACACGCTTTTAGCAAAAGGAGTTGTTTAACAGTAAAGTCATAACTTTGAATGAAAAATCTACAACAATCGAAATTGTTGGAAGTGATTTTATTGATCGTGAGATATATATGAAATTAACTATGTGATGAAATTATAAATGTCTCGTGATATTTCATAGGTAAAAACCAGACATAAAGACAATGGTGAACATCTCAACCTTGAATGTATATCAGATTATGATCTAAATCGAAGCTCGTGGCTATTACCGTATGTAATTCCTCGTCATTAAGTATATTTTCACGTTTGGTCATAGGTTGACTGAGAACTATTTTCAAAAAATAATTTTTCCTCATCAATTACAACAAAGAAACCTTTGTAACATTCATTTATTCACCACTTATGTATTTTTATTATGACTTCACCTCCTCTTTCGTTCATTTAGCGCTTGCACCACACATCCATTTTTCAATATGAATTCAATATAAATTTATCATTATTGTAGAGAATATTCCTAATACTCGGTTCAATTCCGTTTGACGTGCCTCTGAATGGCATTTCTACTGTTTTCATATCCTCTTGGAGTTTTGCCGTGGTTTTCTTTGGTTATAATCTTCGATCGTTTCGACTGTAACTGTGGCAGTAATCGTTAATGGCAAAAACATTGACGCCAGCCGTAAAAGCCTACTGCAAAAGCTACTACAAAACTGTTTGCTTTGTTTCCCGAGCCTCAGTGCGAGCTCCGCCCACTCTGAGGACACAATTGGAAAACTGAGAAATATGTTTTTCTATGATATTTCAGCTTAGTTATGAAAATTCAGCATAGGAATATCATCTCCTAAGTGTTAGTAGAATCTTTTGCAAGATTAATAGCATTTGTTTAGATTCCTACATAGGGGAAACGGCGATTTTCTGGAAAATGCC